TTTGACCCTCCCTTTAACTTTTTTGTTTTAAGAGGTTTAAGAGTAAAATACAAAAGTTGCACGATTTTTTATGAATTTCTCGAAAATTATATTTGAAAAACAAATGAAGTCCAAACAAAATGGCAGCGGATGTTAAGTTTGTTAATTTAAATGGAACACCCTGTATATTTTTATATATTTGGATAGAATGTTATCTGTCGAGCATAATCATATAGGCTTGTTGAGTCCATCTCTAACAATAAGCGAGATACTATTAAAAAAAGAAAAAAAGGTTTTTTATTAAGAAAATAAGATATTCCCGCACGCTAATCGCAATCTATCTCTTCCGCATACGCTCGCAGAACTGGCGCAAAAAAATTCTACATTTTTTGTATTCCATCTAGCCAATATTCTACATGCCTTTAATTTTTAACAATAATATTTTTAAATGAATAACAATCAGGTACTCTGCATTACAAAATTATGCACAAAGAACAAAAAGACGATTACTGTTTTAATTTAATGGAATTATATTTGTTTACTGTCACTAGATATGTAATCCTTGCCTTTTTCAGGAATTTAAGGAGTTTAAGGGAGATTACGGAAATATAGGAAGCGATAAACTAATACTTATAAACAGTTGCCTATATTTTTATATGATTTATGTTTATTTTTCTGTACTTAAAAATGTTCAACTAAATAAAATCTATTTAGATATGCAACCTTTAATTCTCACAAGTTACAAGTTATTAGATCGCTTCTCAGAAATTCTTAGTGAAAACATAATTCCCATCGCGGATGTAGGATAGGCTCAAAGCTATCACGACGTACACACCTGCAATTTATTTACGCTTCTAAGAAATTTTTAGTGAAAACATGGTTCCATCGCAGATGTCGATTAAACTCAAAGAGTTATACATCTGCACTTTGTATACATTTGAAACCAGCAACATATACAAAATCCTTTCTGAAGATTCTCCGAACCAACACACACACACACACACACACACTCATCACTTCTCCACCACCACGCCCACAGCGAAATCTACAAAATTCAAGCGGCAGGATTCCGAACTAACCCTGTGGTTATTGCCGACCACACTTCTTCAGTCGACTCCTTTCTAATGTTAAGTCGCTCTGGATAGCATATGCCATCCGAAGCCCGATGACCTTGAAAGTGCGTTGAGATCGACTTAGCTATTGGTGTACTAGGTAAATCTCTATTCAAATATTGCAGTTGTTGTCTGTTTAGAGATACTAATTTTGAAACGGAAAATTTATATTTGACTAGATTTAAAATAAAATAAACTAAGATAAATTTGAATGAATTGGTGAAAAAATGAAATTAGTTTGCTTTTGTTTTGTTTGTTTCAAAAGAGTTTGAAAGCTTTGCCTTATCCTATAAGTTAATGACCTATCATATAGTTTGTTTTATTTTAAAGCTAATGATCAATCATATCGGTTTCGAAGAGCTACAGTTCAATCAGATCATTTTTCTTTTATAATTAGTGACCGTGGTTTGCCAATCGTGCAAGCGTAAACAGGATAACCGACAGGAGATCAGTACTTACTGAGCTGCATTCTCTCCAGGTGAATTGGAGGTTTGCAACGGCGCCGAATGCCTTGCTAACAGGCACTGTAGATGACTTGATAAACACTTTTCCCAAGCTTTCCGACTGCACCAGTGACAGTAATCATTTAAATATAAGATAGTTTTATAGTTATATAAAGAGAATATCAGATTGTGATACAAAATTAGATTATGTCACCTGGACACCAATATAACTTACTTATGTCATGCCGCCATACAGGCTTTATGCGATCTTATCAGTCACCCTGAACATAAGGAATTTATTTATTTTTCCTCAATAAGTAAATAGAGAATGACTTGTATTTCCCTCATAAGGCATTAACAGGACATGACATTTAGACCATAAAATCTCCAACATAAGTCGAGCACCCACCTAACATAATCTAATAGTTTATTTAGTATCTTTAAAGTATCTTTATGATGCATTGAATTAAGAAGTATTAGACTGAAAACAGTAAAACTAGTATAACTTACAGAAATATTAATTTACTTAATTAATTAAGCCAATATACTTTTTAAAATATTATTTTCAAATTTAAATTTAGTTATACATACCATTTATGTTAACACCATAGAAATGATAATAACTGAAACAAATAATTGAAGGAATACTATAAATTACATTATTTCAAATTGTTGTATTTTCTCTTAAGCCGTTTTCTTCAGTTCACATTTTCTAATTATAGAATTATTTTTTATGTACCTACTATTTCGTTAGCTATAGTGAATATTTTTTATTATACGTTCAGAAAGCTGAACAGATGGGCAAATTTTCAAAATGGCTATAAATTGTCCACAAAATTCTACCAATGTAATCGAACCCTGAATATAGTTTTTATTAAATAATTTACTTTTTTCTTTGAAAGGAACTTTGCAAATGTAAAAGATATTTTTCTAAAATGATATTATACAACCTGTGCAATAAGTGAATGCAGTAATGAACCAAGGTCCAATGCCATTAAAAAACGTATTTATTCAAATAAACGAAATATTATTCAGTTATCTTTTTCCATTACAAATATAATTATTGTAAGCACAGTGTAATCATTAAAAGTCCAAAACATCATTTTAATTTTCTAAGGGAAAGCGGGAAGATATTTTAGACCTTTAATTATATTGTATTTGAATTTTATTTCTAAAAAACTCCTATTTATATTTTTTGGAAAACAGTTTTACACATTTGTAATTTAGTCAACAATGGGGTGAGCTTATTTTAATTTGAATTAATATACCCATTACGGTTGAGACGTAGCGGAACAACCAAAAATTGAGATAAGCTGAAAGATATGTATCAAATAGTTAAATGTATTTTTGACAATACTAATCCTCCTGATATATTTAGACATGAAAACATCATGCATAGCGAATTTTGGATTAGGTTTTGACACCAATAATTGCTCTTCCTCCCGTAGAACATATCAGAAATACATATTTTATTATCGTTGATGATAACGCCCGTCATCATCAGGTGAAATCGTGAATAATTTTTTTAATAATAAAGGTACAAATTGTATTCTATGTTCAGCATGTTCATCTTATTTTAATCATAGAGCAATGTATAATAAATGGGATGTTATTAAAAGATGCATTTATACGTTTCGTCAGCTACTATAGAATTTTGTTTAGTTAGAACAAACTATCTTAGAAGAATGGCTTTAGACCTTTGATTCATTAAAGCTTTTCAGTGTTCAGCGATTCAAGGAACATAACATGAACTTAGAATATATTTTCTAAAGTGAAGATAGCGGAGAAATTTAGAAGTTCCAAAGTATTTTCTCGTACATCGCAACAGTATAATTATTTTATTTTTATTTATTTTTTTTTTTTCACTTAAGACTTGATGATGACTTTTTTTATTTTAAGAGTTATAAAAAAATGTGAAATATAAAAGTTGCACGATTTTTTATGAATTTTTTGAAAATAATAGTAGAAAATCAAATGAAGTCCAAGCAAAATGGCCTAACTTTGTTAATTTAAATGTATATTTTTACGTATTTGAATAGAACGTCGAGCATAGTTATACATATAGGGTTTGTTGGGTCCATCTCTAACAATACACGAGATAATATTAAAAAACGAAACGAAGCTTTTTTTATTTAAAAAATAAGATATCTTGTAATTGTTAGACCTCTTTCAGGCATTTTTACGTTTTTTCCAGTTGCGTAAGGAATTAGATTTAGTTGCAGTAGGTATATTTTGACATATGGGACATTGATATAGTCCAAAATGCGTATAGGTATTTAAACTAAATCTCACTAATTAGTCCGTGAGGGGCCTATTTACTCATGTACAATGTTGTATGGTAGGCCGTGACAATGACAGGTAAAATTGTGACAACATTGTTATTGCTTGACAGTTTGTATTATTATTGAATTAAAATGGGTTACACAAATTAAAATATTATAGGAATTAAAATAGAGTAAGTTATTCTCCATATTCTATGTTAATTCCTAATAATGTTTTAATTTTCTACTTCTGTGTAACCCATTTTAATTAAATAATAATACAAACTGTCAATCAATAACAATGTTATCATGACATTACTACCTGTCACTATCACGAACTACCATATAACATTGTCCATGAGTCATTGATCTCACACGGTCTAATTAGTGAGATTTAGTTAAAATACCTATATGCATTTTGGATCGTATCAATGTCCGATATGTCAAAATATATTGCAACTAAATCTAAATCCTTACGTAATTGTAAAAAAGGCAAAAATGTCTGAAAGAGGTCTAACAATTTAGAGATGGACCCAACAAACCCTATATGACTATGCTCGGCAGGGAACTTTCTATCCAAATATGCAAAAATATACAGGGTGTTCCATTTAAATTAACAAAGTTAACATTCGCGGCCATTTTGTTTGGACAGTTGTTTTTTTACTATCATTTTCGAAAAATTCATAAAAAATCGTGCAGCTTTTGTATTTCACATATTTTTATACTTCTTAAAATAAAAAAGTTAAAGGGGGCCAAAATATTGTAAATCACCCTGTACAAATGTGCATTAAAGCTGAACAACGTTTTCGTATATACCTATTTTCCATATCAATTCAAACAAGTCAGCTTTGTACAATTTCATAGAGAATTATTCAATTCTGTCAGCAAATAAGTTAGGTATAATTATGTTATCTAAACTGCTGACACAATTACTTTGTTCTATTAAGTTTTTTCAGTGAATAATATAGACTATAAAAAAATCGAAAGAATTTTAGACACGCCGATCAAAATGAATTATAACAACAACAAAGCATACATACATTTGCAATGATTAAAAAATGTATAAAGTTTTGAAAAAATAATGTTTTATGTATCAGTTTCTAGAAATAATTTTCATATATTTTAATACAATAAAGTATAATATATTCTACTATTATTTTTCTATTATAATAAACAAACATTTATGCAGGATATAAGTGGGCTAATTAAATTATTTAATTAAAATATTTTCTATTACTATTTTTGATAGATCAACTAAGTTGAAATTAGAATTCGTTGAAACAAAAATGTAAAATAAAAATTACCTATTTTCTTGTTTTTAAATAGACCGTATGATTCTGGGAGGGTAATTGTGATGTTGTAAATTGTAACTCTTCTTATATTTGCCATATCCTTAATTTCTGTTTTTTTTTTTATAAAATTAGTGGTATTGGTTCTGATAAATAATATTTTATTATAAAACACATTTAAATTGACTAGATAAACATTTATAATGATGGGAAACAACTAAATTAAAATACATTTGAAGCAGTGTTCAAATATAATAAACTTTTTTAATTATAATTTTTTATATTTGTTGTCTATAATGAAATTTTAAAGTATTTGTATCATATTTCGCTATTTTTGATCAACATTTACGTACTGGCCAACAATTAAAATATTTTCAAATTATTTATGTAAATGCGAAGGTAGAAAATAGCTAGCTGTTGTATAAAGTATCTTAGCATACCAGTGCACACCTATTGAAGGTTTATTGAGGGTAACTAATGGTGAAACACGAGACCAAATAACTGAAGGTTTTTTTACAGGGTACCATAAACTATATAAATTCTGTTTTATATTCCATACAAGTCGTAATGGTAAAAATGCCCAGTGAGCCAAATATTGACTATCAATTGTTGCATAACATGATGCTATCATATCATTTACAACAATAGTGCCGACCTGTGTAAGTGGAGCATAAACACCTGTTTTCATAACTGTTTTAATTTCGAGTACATTATCTTCGAAAATGGTACCGTTTGATTTGCTAACTAAAAGGCTATCACCAATTTTTACTTTTTCAGCGTAAACTGTTCTGGTATACTTTAAATTCCCTACAAGCAACAAATGATTAGAAGTTACTGTAAATGTTCGCCCAGATGCCAAAAAAATTGTTAGAAATTTGCGTTTCTGTAATGGGTCATAATCTAAAAATAATATAACTTCACTAAAAACTAATTTTTTGCTTGAAGTGTCGAAAGATAATATTTTTTCACCAATTTGCAATTCTGATAAACTTTTCTTCACTCCATTTGGTGTAGTAACTGTATCTTCTCCAGTAAAACATCCTCCATATTTCGCTGCTTGTGATGACTCTAAAAATATAAAATATTATTAAATCAGTACGAATTATTAAAAAAATCAGTAAATAACATAATTAAATCAAATACTACTTATTTTAGGTACATTTAATGGGAAAAAACTAATATTAAAAGAAAATATCGCAAGTTAACAAACTTTATATATTATCTGGCCTGTATTATGTATGTATACCTAATAAATTGATTTAGATTACAAATCGTTAATTTTCAAGCATGAGTAAAATCAAAACTCTGATAGTACACGCCCACTTGTTGATTCATATACTGCTTCTATACACATCTTTCACAAAAAATTGGAAAAACTCGATTACTCAGTGTTAGATTAATTAAAACAAACTGGCCAAATTTATTTTTAAAGATACAAAAATCCGTTTCAACAAATACCACCCGGTTGTGCCTACTACGATTCTATTTTGGGATGCGTATTATTCAATATCGATACTATAAAATTGGTTCTCTGACGGTTTTCAGTTGAAATTAAAATTTCATATAATTTTTGTTTATTTTGTCATTTCAAATGTCACATAAATACTCTTAAATAAAATAATTAAGTATGNGCTGAAAAATATTTTCTACCTATATATTTATTAAAGGAAAAACATTTAATTTTTCTAAAACACAGACTTTTTTTCTAATGTAAGCTATTATATTATTATGATCTATTGTTTAATATTTTAGGAATGATGAGTGTGTAATTGTAAGATTACACAAAAAGTGTGCCGACTTAAGATCAAAATATGTGCTAAATTTCAAATAAGTATCACCGAAGTTGTTAATAAAAATAATTTTTTAAATTTGATGACATTTTAATTTGACACCCTGTATTTTGAAAATGGGGCCCCGAAATGAATGTTGCATACGAAAAGTCCCATTATTTTTGTCTAAAGAATATGTGGTTAACTGTTTAACCTACTAATTTCTGACACTGTAGAAAACATTTACCTACTTATATTATAATAATTCAAAAATGCATACATACTGATTCGAGAAATAGTGGGAATTTATCAAAATAAACTTAAGAAATTGCTGATCCCTTATTTGCTGAAATTTATGTTCTATATATTTCATATGACATCTTTCAAAACTTATTGTTAAAAATAATGGTTTTAAAGCTTTTACGGCCCGTGCTAATATCTAAAATAACATTAATAATATCTAAAATAGGTTTTTCGGATTATTGTGAATTTTTGACCTGAAGATTTATCTAAAAAAATTGGCGAAAACTGCAAGTTTCTATCTTTAATAATAATCGGGATATCCTATAATAATGGACAAAACAAATTAGTCAATATTTATTATAAGAATTTTCTTGTATTCTAATCAACATCTATTCGTAAAATTTAATTTACTTAAAGACGTATTTTTTCTTAGTAGAATGAAACAAGTTGTGCATACAATTGTCTAATTTACGGGACAGAAACTTACACCTATTTATCGTTAACGGTTGTGTGAGTGGAGTCTATCAGAAATTACAATAGCAAAAATCAGTTATAGCGTTGAAATATTACAAATCTTTTTAAATACATTTTTAAGCATAATTGGAAAGTAAAACTTTGTTAAAATGAATTAAACATATTTAAATTTCTAGAGGATATGGAAATGTTATCATATACGTATAAGATTTTGACTATAAAGTTTTAAAAATAAAATCATTTAGTTTTCTTTCTGATCTTTTCAAGAGTAGTCAGAAAATATTTAAAAAATATAATAAATCGGTATTAAAACTGTTTGCATATAAATAGTTGTTAATTTTAATTTTGTCAGAACTATTATTGGCTTACAAATTTTGAACATAAAAGTAAGTAGAATTGCTGTAGTAGGTACATAGATAAAATTATTTCAGTGTTTTAAGAAAGTTCCGTCACTTTGTAAGGTGAATGAAGTTTTACTTAAAATGTAGAAATCGATAAAAATATCAGAAACCGTCTTTTCTGTTTTTTATCATATTTAGAGAAATACTGTAATAAGTCGCTAAAATATTCCGTTCTAGAAGAAAATGGATTCTAGTTTTCTACTGCAGTGACCACAAAGAGTTTTAGTGATCTATAAACCTCAAATTTTTTAATAATCAAAACAGAATGCTCTGTATGTGTATATCATAATATATTGCTTTATTATTTTTAAACTTTTGCAATCAATTTAATTTCTTATAAGAAGGAAACAGTTTTATAAACATGTTCCAAATCCTAAATATTTTAATGCAGGACAATTTTCAGAAATTAGATGCAGCAATCCAATTTTCTGTTTACAAAAAATTTTTAGCCCGTTTTTAAGACAAAGTAGTGTTACTTTAAATTAATAAACAATGTGATTACAGATTATTTGGAAAACATTTGAGGAATAAAAAAAATACTAATTTAACTATTTCATATTTTTGAAAATTTATTTAAAAAACTTTTATGGGCACCTATTGAGTTGGACTAAGGAAAGTAGTAAGAATCACCAGAAATAATTAGTGAATTTTTCTGATATAATATAGAATGGTTGGTATTTAACTTCGCTAACACAATATGGTAAACCGGTTTCTGGCAACATAAGATTTATCTTCAGCAGCAATATTTAATTTCCAAACGGCACCCAATCCTACTAAGTTGAACCAAATTATCATCGAATGCCAACGAGCCGGTCATTTGTTATTTCAAACCTACAGAAACACAACACTGTCGACGGCCACTTGAAAAGCGATACGATGCAGTTTAGATGCTATCATTTGACATTTGCTGCTAGTTTAATTGCCTCAAATTAACTTTACTAGCCGGTCCAACCGTCTTTTGGTTGTTTTAGCGTGTTTAAAATAATCAGAAAAATCTAGTGTGATCACATACATAAACAATAAATAAGGGCGTAAACGTAAATGACAGCAGAAGTCTAAAATATAAATTGGACTAAATCATCAAATTTAACATACAGTATGTCAACGGTTAAAGTGGAAAAGAGGGAAAATATTTTTATTTTTCATTTTACGAGAAAAAGGCATTTTTGATTAAAATTTTTGCTTGCCTTTAAAATGCGGCTGGCATGAAGAACTTTCATGTTGCATGTACAGGGTGATCAGAAAATCGGTGGATATAAAAATTGTTCAAGAATAAACTGCCTTTGCTTTTAACAATACAGAAATATGTTATTAAGGAAAGTCGGTTAGAATTATAATTTATATTATAATTTCAATTTCAGCCTACTTTGATAGAAACGGATAGTAAAAAATTTGTATTCATTTTACGAGAAAAAGACATTTTTGATTAAAATTTTCGCTCGTCTTTAAAATATCTTTAAAATGTCTTTAAAGATAAGCAAACATTTTAATCAAGAATGCCTTTTTCTCGTAAAATGAACAATGAAAATTGTTTACTGTCTATTTCTATCAAAGTAGACCGATTCATACGCAAATTGAAATTATAATATAAATTTTAATTCTAAGCAACTTTCCTTAATAACATATTTCTGTATTGCTAAAAAGAAAGGCAGTTTATTCTATAACGATTTTTATATTTACCGATTTTCTGATCACCCTGTACATTCAAGATGAACGTTCTCCATGCATGCCATGAATTTTAAACATAAGCAAAAATTTTAATCAAGAATTTCTGATCACCCTGTACATGCAAGATGAAAGTTCTCAATGCCAACCGAATTTTAAAGACAAACAAACATTTAAATTAAGAATGCCTTTTTCTCGTAAAATGAAAAATAAAAATATTTTCCCTCTTTTCCACTCTAACCGTGGACATACTGTATAATGCAATACCTCAGTAACAGTATATCTATATTAGCACATACAATTTCAGTTTAATATATAGCTATTGATGTGCTAGTATCATAACCAGGTCTCTTTTAAAAGTAAAAAACTGCTCACAGCACAATGTGTACTATAGAATGGAGAATATTTTATAATATTTCTATATTTGCCTTTTATTAATTATACACTTTATAATTATTAGGGTATCCTGAAATTATCCTGCAATATTTTACTTGCGTAATAATAGAAAAAGTGTCCTCTTAAAGGTGAGTCACTGAAAATTATTTTTTAATTTTCATACATCTCCGAAACTATTGAAGATAAAATAATGAAATTTAGAAATGTCATCACTGTTTCGTTTTAATTTTATAAAACAATTGCTAAATTTATGTCAGGAACGTCCCCTAGTAATATTTTAATCCAGCTTTTTGTATACAGATATTTCTTTCTACTGTTCGATAAAAAAATAGAAACTGCAGAAAATTTTATTGTAAAAATATGTTCTTGTATATTTAGACAGGTCGCACAATTTTGGAGTAAAACTGAGTTAATAGTAATATTACAATTTGAATGTATGATTTCATGAAAACCGAGAATATCGATGCTTTAGAAATTTTATAAATGTTATTCAATCTTCATATGGACTAGGTATTCACAAATTTCGTTTCCCATATTTTCGTATTTATACATTTTTTGCTCCAAAATAATCGAAATATCGAAATGGTACAGAGTACAGTTGCATAAAATTTCTAATTTTTCAAATTGATGAAAAGAAAAGGCCGCATAGAAAAGATGAAGCAATATTTATTTACTATTTATAAATTATTTTTAATCATTAAATTAACAAGTAATCCTCAATTCCAGCAATTCATTTTTTTTATCTTGAGATATTTGGAGCAAGTAACTTTCAGGGGTTCACATTTAAGAGGCTACAAACTTTTTCGTTTACAGTCGTAGAATATACTGGCACAATATAGCTGATTAATTTCGGGACAAACTATTTTAAGTCGAAAGTTTCAGATAAATGTGTCGTAGAATACTTTACTGAAATTTGAAAAAAAATGTGGCAATTTCTATAATGTAATTGGCAATGAAAAGCACTAATAGAATTTGCACAATAGTCAGGGGCGTCGAAATTCTGACTTCGCCTCTGGTTAACGTCTTTGTAAGTTTAGTTAACGAATTTTGGGTCATTCCATGTCAATTCACCAGACGCTTCCCACAGGGCCCTCCCCAGATATCATGAAATTTTATATTAAAGTAACCTTAGATCCCAAATGAAACTGCAGAATATTAGAGTGAAATATACTTCGGTTTATAAGTTACAGGCCCATGTTCAAGGGCTATCATCCAATTAATGTACATGTGCCGCAAAAATATCAAACTTTGGCATTGGCAAACCAACTTTTAGCGCAAAATATAGTTATATGATAAAAAAAGAAGTATCGTTGGCCATTCAGCTGTCGATTGATGTCAAAGTAGCGGCCAAACTTTGCCTTGACAGTGGACCCCAATTTGGAGGCCAGTTATTCAGCAGCAAAAAA